ATTACTTCCACCCTGTTTTCTTATCATTTAATTTTCCTTTTTTCTTTTCTCTTTCAGTTTTGTTAATCATTTCAGTGAATGAATGCTCTAAATGAATGCATTGAGTGACATGTCATTGTTTTTTCTATTGTTTCAATGTGTGATGGACCAGCTCTCCTCCTTCATCCAGCTCGCCCTTCACTTCGCAGTTTGCATTACTTAGAGTACCTTTGTTGTAATCCACTGTGTCATTATAGTCCTGCTTTGAGTGACGTTCTCCCAGCTCCTCCCCTCCTGATCCTCTCTCCTCTCGGTGTCTCCGCTGCCACTCCGTCTACTCCTCTCCTCCCGTCTGTTTAAAGGTAAGACTGCTCTGCATCTTAGTAAAATACAACCTTTTTTTTAATAAATCAGGAAAAATGATAACCATTATAAGTACTTTATTTCTATAGTTTAGTGTCATCATTAAAAAAAGTTAGTTATCCTGGCGTGAAAACAATAATTTTTTTGTTTGATGGTAAAAATGACAGATTCTACACAATGATGAATGTGTCGTAAAGTATATGAATGAAGGATTATTGTATGTTTTGTTCAATTTGATGTTCTGTATTTGACTTACACACACAAAAATTCATATGTTTCAAGTCTTACACCCTTAGTGGTGAAATAATACACTCACATATTGTTGCTGTTAAGGAACTACATTTGGCTTTCAGCCTTACTGAATGACTTTTATTTTTAAAGCTGTTTGTTAAATTGGAATACCATTTAAACAACATTGCTTGATCATTATTATTTTTTAACACATTTTTCAAAGTAACTTTTAAACCACTGTTATCTGGAAAAGGGACTATCGGTGAAAACTAGCCTTTTGGCTAATTCGAGTACTTTTACATATTTTTAATATGTTGATTAATGTACACTGTCCCTTGTTTTAAATAAATCCATTCAATTCAAGTTTAGAACAATTTAGTTTCTTCCCAATAAAACAAATGCTGCTGAGATTGAAATCTGAATATGTCCTCTTAAAACATGGACCAACATTTTATCTTTCTTATCAAATATTGTTGTATATAGATTTCTTGCATATTTGCATTAAAGAAATGTAATGCAAATATAATTTATTTTACAAAGAGTCACAACTTAAGAAATGGGTTGAAAAATCTGTCCTTTTCTTATCATGCTGCAAACCGATTCAAATCCAGGTGTTGACGAGTCTTTCAGGAAAATACCTTCAGAATATGGAGAGGTGCAAAACACTGATTTAGTTTTTCAAATGAGTTTTTTCCCAATAACATCACCTGATGTATATACATATGTAGATAATTGTATCAGATAAATACTTCTTCAGATAAATATATTTCTAATCAGATTACCTCTCCTTAACAAACTCTTAACATGAACTAAATGTCTGGCCAGTGCTGAAAAAAAAGATGAATGCTGATGTTTGTGCCAATTCTTCTTTCTTCACAGTGTTAGTGAAATACTGTGAGACACTGCAACCATGGCTGCTGTAAGTCTAACTTCTTTGCAACAAATCAAGAGAGAGTACTTGAGTGTGCCTTTGTTTCTATTTGAGCCAGTTTGTCTGTGTCTGGCCTCACTTCACTGGGTTAAAAGCATCAGCTTCTTCTTCTTTGGACTGTCAGCGCATGAGGCAGCTTAATGCTGTTATTGTGCCAGTAGATGCTTGCTCTGGGATGGACTCTTAAGCTGTTTTTAAGAAGTGGCTTTAGAAGTCCTTTCTGTAATCATGTGAAGCAGATTAAGCAGCCGTTCACGTAGTGGTGTGCATCGCCTGGGGTCTGCTGCTGCTGACACTGTGGGTTCACAACTTAAAAGTCATTGTTATGAGCTGCCATTGAAGTATTCAGGTGGTAAAGCAGGTGTAAAAAAAAAAACAGTTATGTTAAAATTACACACAAAGGAGGATTTCAACCAAAGAAGTTTGTTATTGTGGTGCTATAAAACATTGATGACAATCTTATAATTTATAATAACCTTCATGCACTGATATGATCTTTTTAAAGCTTTCCTTCTTTTACGCAGACTGGATCTTTCCGCATGGTGTCAGAGGACGAGCAGGCCATGAGGTCTAAGCTGGAGCATTTGACAGTGAAGGATCATGGGCCAGTGTTTGGGCCATGCCAAAAACTGCCTGGACACACTGTGCAAAAGGTAAAGCAAAAAATACTACGTAGGAGTTCAAATTAGAATATTAAAACCCAGTCCTCATTGTAGTAAACACTTTGTGCCCCAAAATGTGTCTGACTTGTCTGGCTGTTTTTCTTCTTCCTCCAGGCGAAGGATGAGCTGGGTGAGACGGAGGAGAGGCGGGCGTCCTCGCTGAAGGACCTCCGGGCCACGATGAAGGACAGAGCGGCGGAGGGAGACGAGCTGGCCAAACTGGTGCTGGAGCGCTTCGGGGACAAACCGAACTCCCTGCTGCTGCGCTTCCTCAGGGCTCGCAAGTTTGATGTTGCCAGAGCCTACGAGCTCATGAAGGGTTAGTATTAACCATCTCATTTGTAGAAAGACAAACTGAGCTATCAAAAGTGTTTTTTCTTGGCCTCCGTGTGCTTGTTTCCATTTCTGCAGACATTGTACAATAGCTTCAGTAATTGAGGGTGAGACCTCCTTTGTGCCCCTGGTTAGCATGAATCCTGCCCATCACTGAGACGGAGAGAAATGTGTTCATTAATTGGGGGCCTTTGAGGTGCTTCTGAGTTTCCGTGACAAAGCCCTCCTTTGTGTCCAAATAGGACAGCAAGTTTACTTTATTTGTGAACCAGCAGTGTTCTCCTGGGAACTTCACAACACATGTGCTGATTGTGTCAGTCTGAGAGAGGAGATGAGATTAAAAAGCAGAGCAGTCTCCGAGAAGATAGCATATTCATGACATGCTTATTGTTTGTGAGTCTGCAAATTGCATGAGTAATGTACAACCACAAACATGTAAAGATCCCATCACCTCAACATCTGAAAACTAACTAAAGTATTATAGGCCTACTCAAAACTGTGATACCTAATGTACACTCAACATATAACTGGTCAGGGCCATTACACTCTTTTATTTAGGATTTTCTTATTTTCTGTGCTATTTCTGAAAATATTAATATTCTAAAAAAACAGAAGTACAAGAAAACTCAAAACACATTTATGAATGTGGAGAAGCAGAACGTGTTAGTGAGAGAGGGGAATATGATGGGACCGTGACCTTGTTTAAAAAGGTTGATTGAACACACACACACACACACACACACACACACACACACACACACACACACACACACACACACACACACACACACACACACACACACACACACACACACAGTTAATTGGTGCCTCGGTATGAAAAGGCTTAGGGACGCTCTGTAGATGCACAGTGCTGTCATTGTTTTTGTCACATCAACAACCTGCACTGAACACTCATACGGTAAAAAAGGGGTTGTGCCACATTAAATAATGCTGATCACTTGGTGTGTGTGTGTGTGTGTGTGTGTGTGTGTGTGTGTGTTTTGTGGGTTCTCTATAGGTTACGTGCGCTTCAGGAAGGACTATCCCGAGCTGTTTGAGAACCTGACCCCGGAGGCGGTCCGCAGCACCATCGAGGCGGGATACCCCGTGGTTCTGCCCAGCAGGGACAAGTATGGCCGAGCGGTCTTGCTCTTCAACATCGAGAACTGGGACCTGGAGGAGATTACATTTGATGAGGTGAGGAACCTCACAGAGCACAGCTGAGCAAAGTATTCCCCAGTGTCTAACTAAAATGGCAGTAGTTTCTGTCTGTAGATATGTTTGTCATTTGAGTTTCCTGAAAACTGTTTATTTGAACGACTCCAAAGTCAAGTAGGACGTTGCTTGGATGAGCGCTTTTTCAGAAAGCCGAAGGCAGCAATACTGGAGGCCGAGCAATTGGCCAGAGAGGCACTGCACTAATTAAAAACAAGTCTTTGTGTTGCAGATCTTAAGAGCTTACTGTGTGATCCTGGAGAAGTTGCTGGAGAATGAAGAAACCCAGATCAATGGCTTTGTCCTGATTGAGAATTTCAAGGGCTTCAGCATGCAGCACACGTCGGGAATAAAGCCGGCTGAGCTCAAGAAGATGGTGGACATGCTGCAGGTCAGAACAGACTCAAAAAGGAACAGCTGATCTTGACGTGCATCTTCAGAGCTGTTTCATTCATGAATGTTCTGTGTCTTTTTGTGCAGGACTCTTTCCCTGCCCGTTTCAAGGCGGTGCACGTTACCCACCAGCCCTGGTACTTCACCACCACATACAACGTGGTCAAACCCTTCATGAAGAGCAAGCTGCTGGAGAGGGTAAGGGTGGAGGATAATTAAGCCTTTAATCTAAACCAGACATTAAAATGTATCTATTTTCTATCAGTGCGTTCCTCTAAATAATGACCTCACTTCCCTCAGGTCTTTGTTCACGGCGACGAGTTGGACAACTTCTTCAAAGAATTTGACGCTGACATCCTGCCGTCAGATTTTGATGGGAAAGCCTCGGTGACGGACTGCCAGGCCATCGCCACAAAGCTGTTTGGATCTGAAGATACCGCTCTCTGAAAGAACAGCCCTGCATATCCAACCCAAGAGTTATAGCGTCCTCCACCCTAGATGCTTAGATCTTTCAGTCTAAGTTCTATTTCGAAGCTAGGTTGACATGCTATATTATTCTTCAGGCAGTTAATACGAGTTAGAGGAAGGGGATTGTTTGCAAATAAATATATGATGAACGGGAAGAAAAAGGATGTTTAGATATTACTCAGAGAATAACAGGTGGTTAATTTGTGTAACTATGGAGCGCTGACATTCATTGTTAGTGGAAGAGCAGAGGGAAAATGAGTTGATAGTTTGAGTTAGTTTGGTTTGGGGTTCCTCGACTTAAAAACGTAAAGTCACAACAAACAAAGCAGCCTTGTGCCTCTGACCCTGAATGAGTTTCACAGTCTCAGGGGTTTAGAAAGATAGGAAGAAGGAAAACTGATCATGTATTTGCCTGCATTTGATTATTGTATTAGGAGCAGGAGCCTCCTGATGCAATGCCTTGGAAACAGCCTTGTTTCAGTCGTGACTCTCAGAGGCCTGATGAACCACAGAAATCCATTCTGCATTTTGCACTGGTTTGGGAAATGTTCAATTAAAATGCTTTTTTGTTTGTGTCTTTAGTTTAATTTGAATTGTCCTTTTTTTATCATTTATATTTTTTCCAATTTCACCTGACTTGACTAGATAAGACTTAATAAACCTTTGTTAAGGGAAATTCACAGCAACAGTAATAGGAGTGAAACACGGGAAAGGTATGATTTCACACACAATGTTAGATGTTTCATAACTCAAGTTAACCAATAATATAAACCTTAAACGATAAAATCAGGTTATTTTTAGTCAGTTCTAAATCAAAGACAAGGGTTGAATTGAACTGACGTTTTGCGATACTTGTACTTTACTTGAGTATTTATATGCAACCTCATCAATCCACTCCAATACAGTTCAGAGGGAAATCAACCATATAGTATTAAGTATATAATATATGCTACTAGAAATCTGAATTCATAATAATATATAACAGGTATTATTATTTTGATATTTGAAGTACAGTTCGCTGATAAAACCTCTGAACTTCTACTTTAAATATTTGAATCTAGGACTTGCAGTTTTATATCTGGTACAGGTAAATGATCATCCAAAAAGGTGGGCTCAACCGCATCATAAAACAAAGATCCATATCCTACAAATCCCATTATTGAATCCCAAAATGTAATATTGACCAGATAACATCTTCTTCTACATCGTTTGTGCTTAAGATTTTTTGAAAGCATTGAACTGGCAAGTAAAAACGAACTGAAACATTTGTTTTCTTTTGAGAAAATAATTTATTTTGGAACACATTAACCATATTTCCTCACATAAGTAGACCACACACACACCACTGTTTTTTTTCTCAACAAAAAGACCCAGTGTTCAATATCAGAGTACATCATGTTTTTCAACTATGTGTTCCCCGGCTTCTAGTTGTTGCCATATCCATTCACCGTCTTCTATTAAGCATCAAAATGTTTGTAATAATAAGTTAAAGCTGTAAAATGGTTAGTGTAGGTTAACGTACTGTGGGCTCCTATACTGTACACTTGCTAGGGCTGATAAGATTTCAAATAATAAATACTGAGCAGTGTTCATCCCAATACGCATTTGTTGGATTCATTCACATTTAAGGTCACTCCAGATTTTTAGATATTTGATTTCTTCGGTTTCAAGCAATTAAACATGAGCCCACAATCTAAAAAATAAACAAGATGCTTGAAGATTTGGGGTTAGGTCAATAGACAGGAGCACGTCTTCATATCGATACAGTAGAAGAACCTACACATGAAAAATGAACATGACATCTTTTGGTCTAACAAACTTTGACACGTTTTCCTTTCACTTTTACTATTATAGATAAATCCCTCCTGGTTGTTTATTGCCTTATTTTTCATTACTGTTCCCTTACATATATACTATATTAATATAATCCTTTAGCCTTTTCATTGTTAAAGTGAAGAGGCTTTGGTTTTTGTCCATCATCACTTACACTCCGACGCATTTACACAAGTAAATAACACAAGAAGTCATAAAAACAATACAAAATACAAAAGAAAAACAATACAAATAAGTCACAACAAAAAAAATACATCCAAACCTGCATTTTTGTGCAAAGCTGGCGGGAGGCAAAACTCTTAAAATGAACACGAATGGCTCTTACTGCTTACGGCGGTTTGTGCTGGTGTCATTAATATTCATCTGATTTTTCTAACGAGACAAAAAAAAAAATCCAAACTACAGCTGGCTTTTTGCAATGAGAGCTGTGGACAGAGTGAAGCAGGAATACAATGTCAATGCGAGAGGGATGAGGGGATGTTAGCAGTTGTAGTTTGATCTCTCTGACAACAGATGGCAGCCATGAACAGTGATGATTGTAAAGAAGGAAGGGGGCGGCTCAGACACATCTACAGTTGGGGATGAATAACCTTTGAGTCAATCGGGTATCTGCCTTAAAGTCACTGATCCACATTAACAGTTTCATTCAATGCCTCTATAACATATAGTGTTTCTATCTTCCATGGTCTCCTCGTATCATACAGTACATAGGAATGATTGAGTTACACTCAGTGAGGTATACAGATTTAAAAAGTGGGAAAAGAAGGCCATTGGTATTGGATTGATGCTCAGTATTGGCAGATACCCTGAGTTGAGAGGGATAAAGCTAGATTGGTTAATCCCTTTGTCCCTGTTTTTTGATATTATTCAGGCCAGCATTAGTGAGATTAACACCTGGATTTCATGTTATTTGCACTGAACAACCTCCAACAAAGCAGGTTACATTTAAGCCATTTACATCTAAAATAAACTATCTTCGTAGCATTGTAATTGAGGCAAATTATTTGATTACTGGTGGTTGATTGTTGGTTACTGTATAAACCAAACTAATATTTCAGTAGTCAACAATGAACTAGAGCTGAGGATAATTACTCTTTGGTCATAATGTTGCAGCTATCAGACGTAAAAATGAAATATGAATTATACCGACAAAAGCTACACCTTACAAATACCATGGAACCCAGGTCTATTAGGACAGAAAGAATAGCCTAAACCAGGTGGCTGCTGTCAAGCACCACCCACCTGTCTCGTCACAGTGTTCAGATTACTTGGCTTGACTTTGCCTTGATAAGCCCTTACAACAAGTTCTCCATCAAATTCGAGTTTTGAAAAGTCCACAGGTCCCATTCTTGCAGTTTGATTTCCTCAAGACACGTTTCAGATAGATTTCAAGAGCGTCAACGCTCAGCCCAGTTTTAAATAAGAGAAGCTTTTCAATGCGATCCAAAAAATGTCTTGCGTTCACTGTCCACCATCTAAATTAACAATCACCAGTATAATTACAAGTAGTACAAACAATCCACTGAAATAAACATTTGGTTAAGCATCGGTATCCTCAGCCCTCCTACTCATCACACCTCACAGCTCAGATTATAAGAGAAAACCTGCTGAACTTTCCCTTTAACAGGGTGGCATTGGCCAATCCGCCTGTTGCATCTTCAATATCAACCAACATCTGCTAGAAGTGCAAACGTTTACAGAGATGTTCAAACCAAATGTGAAGTGCGAGTGTCTGTGCAGTAACAGAAAGATATCAGAGTCTCAGCTGGATCTGCAGCTGATCAAAGGCAAATGAAAGAGTAAGAGGGCTTAAAGACAAACAACACAGGGAACATTTGAGTCATCTAACTTTATGTTATCATCCTCGCTCCCCCCAGTAATTCCTCTCTGTCACAAGAAGAGCTAAACTGACATTAATCTCCAATACCTGCGCTTTGACTAATTAGGAAAAAAAGAGGGAAAGATTGTGTCAAACAGGGTGTAAAGTGCACTGAACCAAAGTGATCAAATGTGACCGTGGGAATGTGCACGGATCCCTTTTGGGGTTGATCCCTGCTCATGTATGTGAGCACAAAGTAAACACTCATTGCCAAGTGCCAAGATGATGTTATGAGCTGGAAATAAAGTTTAAAATTCCACCATAATTCTTACCTTTTTACTGCACATTTTCTACAAACAACAGAGCAACGGTTCACCCGAAGGAACAGATATTATAAAGGGCCATCAGACCATGAACTGGGAATTTGGATCACACCTACCAAACACAAAGATCACATGCTCCGTCACGGGTCTCTAACTCTCGGTCACACGGGCGCACACACTTACACACACACACACACATCTGTGAGTTACATACAAACAGTCATACACACTAAAAGACGCTGTGTTGGTTAAGACAGCAGACTAGGCTATATGGCCTTGGCGGTGATAAGCAGTGAGCTTCTTACAGGTGCAGTAAATGAGCACCGACTGCAGCACAGTCCTTACAAACTTAAGGAGGCTTCTTGTGTGCTCTTGTTGTTTCACTGGGCTACTCTCAAGTGGCGCTCTCACTTCACGTTTTAATGCAAACATGACTTCAGCTCTGGTCATATTTAGTCTGCGCCTCCAATAGCTAAGGGTCATTGTTGTGTAGATAAAGAGAACAAAATGTTCCTGCTCTGAATTTCAAAGTCTTCCCAACGGAAACGAGCAACAAAGGCAGTTAGTTCTTTGTTCCCTCACATACTGTGAGTAGATAGTGATTACAGAAGGGGGCTTTAGTGAGGTCGTGAAGACGTGTTTGGGTCGGGAGCGGTGAGTAGCACCAGAAGAGAAGGCAGACAAGAGAGAGCAGTTTAAGGTTGAGTTCAGGTGTCTCCTCAGTGCTGGAACAGTGGGAGAGGGTGAGAGGTGAGAGGGCAGAGAGACAATCAGAGAAATACAGAGGTTAGAAGTTTAGGATTGTTCCTCTGCGCAGGAGCTCTCACTCTGAGGGACACTTTGGCACGGTGGTTTCTGTTTCTCCCACTGGCACATGGCGTTGGCGTAGCCCACGATCAATTTGTCCATCCAGGTGAGCGGCTGGGGGAAGAGCACCGCGCCCTCGAAGAAGCCCAGGTGGCCTCCGTGTAACGTCAGGGAAAAGATCACGTTGGGCTTCTTTGCTAAAAGACCACACATAAGCGCACAGGTATTAGGTCTCTGCACTGAGCACGGACACATGTGGAAATATGGGTTTACCACGGATCCTTTTATGACTCTTACACATAGTTAGAGTGTGTTTGCATGGTTCAACAGATAAAACATGACTCAACTTCTGGCAGCTATGTTTAAGTGACAGCTTCTACTACAGCCTAAAGTCTAAACCAATTAATACGTGGCCAGTAAAATAACAGCTAAGTTCAGGTGAATAGAAAATAACAACATTTCTCTATTGAGTTACAAAATTAGGAAATGTTTTTCTGATCAATGCAACTGCGCCAATACCCCAGCTTTTAGATAAATTGTTATAAAAACAAAAGAAAACCTTTACTCAGGTCAGCCCCACACTGCCGAGAAAAACAGTTTCTGCCTGAAAGTCCTTATTGTGCTGCTCTTATCTGGGTTAGTGGGGTAGCCTGATGCGGTTGACTTGTGATCAAATTCCCACAGGGCTTTTACTGCCGTGCACTATTGGTGACAGCTGCTAGGACCAGTGAGTGCTCGTCCAGACCAAGAGCTTCCGCCTCGCTGTGCGCCGAGTGACAGGTGGGAACAGAAGGGTCTGGAGAATGTGCTAAAAATAGACATTTAAGCCTTGAAGACAAACATATGTGCCGTCACAGTAATACATTATTGTTATTGTCAAGCATTTACTTTGTTTCTCTGTATGAAAATACATTTTAAACATGTATGTTAAATATGTTCTGACAGTGTAGCAGCCACATTCACTACATTAACGCAATGAAGAAGCAATACACTATGAACGCAAGAAAATAGAGGTAATGCTTTGGTGCATTTCTACAGCAAACATAACACTTTCCCATTGACATGACAAACAAAATAGTAATTATATAGTAATCATATTTAACTTAGTTTAATCTAGTCCCTTGAGTCTGAGTCAGAGTATCACATTTTAGAGCAAAGGGCAGCTGATCCTCATTTCAGTAAGTGTTGCTCTCTAGAGTCACATGTACACTAGAGTCATGACTTATACACACACACACACACACACACACACACACACACACACACACACACACACACACACACACACACACACACACGTAATACGTTTATATTTAGCACAGGCTGAGGAGAACCAAAGAGAAGATTGCTTCCTCGATTTGTAAATGGAGGTTCAAACACAGTACCTGTTTTACATTTGCTTTAAACATATATTCAGAGGCACACATGGCTATATTTGAATAAGTATTACAGCTGCAGTATAACATTACCCATAGACCTGGCCTGTGAGCCACGCCCTGTGAGCCACACCCTGTGCTGTTCAGGCAAACTCAACAGAGGTCTTTTTGGAATAGCAGGCGTGTTTTCTAAGATCCAAACCTGGGGTGTAAACTGCTATCAATCGTCAGACAAGCCTTTTATTTAAAAATCCTGTTTGCTCTGTAGAGGATCAACCGCAAATATGTACCATATCTGTCCGCAGGGACATCTTCTTCTTCGCTCGCTGCACTGTATCATGCCAAGTATAGACAGTGCATTAATAAATCAATACTTATTTTGGTTTATCTTTTGTTGGAAATCTGCGAATATGTCTGCAGTATTACATATCGAGTATAATTTAATACTATAATTTGTTCAGATTTTGAGTGTTTTCCAATATGAAATCATAAAAATACTAATTGAAATGTACAATAATGTCACTTTTATTTGATGCGTAACTCTGACACGCTTTTTCCTACATATTTTAGTAGTAAAAGAACTGCATTGAATTTTCAAACCGCAGGAAACATAGCTTCCTTTTGTTTCAATGTTATTATATATTCATCTATAGTTAATTGAACCTGCTTTTAAATTAACAGATTTAAATATGTTTAAATATGAAATATATTTAGGTATGTACTTCAACGTCATTAGTTTAAATATTAGATTTGTTGACATATGTCTGTATATCAGAAATGTTAGCTGAATCACATGACATTTACAAAATGTTATCAAGTAAGTAACCAAAGAAAGCATCTTAAAAATGCTTTAGTTGCATGGATAAACAAGGTTAAAATAGCTTATAGGGTTTATTGTTTAACTTGGAGTTTTTAACATTATTGTTGAACCCTGCTGTGTGTCTGTTAAGGCCCAGATACACCGGTCACCTGAGAAGTCGCCGACGCCGACACCGACTGTTGCATCGCCGGACTCTCCTGCGTATTTGCCGATTTCGCGCACTGGAACACACCGCAAATCCGAGCCGAGCACGTATGAACTGCGTATGCGTGAGTGGCAATAACTCTCCTTACCAGCAGGCGGCGGTAGTGTGTATTCATCATTCAAAAGAGGCAACAACCGGAACAACCGGAAGACAGAGAAGAAGAACAGACTCCGTGATATAAACAAACAACAAATAGCGTTTTTCTTTCCATTTTCACTCTCGTTCATTGAAAACATGAACGAACAGGAGCTCTATAAACCGATGAGGTGAAATAGCCGTCCGTGTGTGTTCCATCTTCCATTTTAAATCATTTGTTTACCTCCCTCACTTCCGTTAACGCTTCTCATGCACTGATTCGCTAGCTGAACAGCCAATCAGTGTTAAGCCTTTGTCCGACTTCCGGTGGTGTTCCCGACGCCGATTCAACATGTTGAATCGGCAAGAAAAGGCGTCAGGTCGGCAGAAAAGACCCGACGGGGCGGCGCACACCACTCAGAATAGGGCGTGCCCACGCTCATGTTCGGCTCGACTCCCATTTACTGCCGATTTTGGGCCGGTGTATCTGGGCCTTTACAGTGCATGTTGTCAGTTACCTGCTAGTGTGCGAGGGATGGTGAGCAGTGACTCATGGACCAGAGGGTCGTCTGCAGAGTTTACGAGCAGCAGTGGCACGTTTACCTGAAACAAACCAATAAGATTCCATACATCAAACAAATGCACAAACACAGCAAAAAGAGAAAATTAATATGAGATGATGAGGTGTACACAAAGGCAGTCCTTACATTGTGGATATAATGAACACAGCTTTCCTTCTCATAGTACTCTTTGAGAGAGCTGTGGCCGTGGAATTTTCTGTTGGAACAAAATTATAAGCGATGCCATTCCCTAATCAACAACAAATAACATAAATATAAACAATGCCAGGTAAAACGATATGATTTACAACACCAAAGCTGAAACTTTTATTGAAAATAATGTATTTCTTAACATACCTCATGATGCTGTCGTCGATCTGCATGAGAGACGTCGCTGTGTACAGTCGACCGATATCAAGATCTATCCTTTTTACTGGGCTTCCCCCAAACAGACTGTGCCTGTAACATGCAAAATATACATTGGTACATACATACACTCAAAAATGGTTCATAAAACGTTTTAAATTAACGGTGGGCTAGGTAAGTTTGAGAAACTGGCTGGAGATACACTTTTTGTTATATTCCATGGAATGCTCTTAACATCCCGATAGCAATGAATATATTAAGTGCTTTGACAACAAATCCAAATAATTGTATGCAGTCTATTTTGTGGGAAAATACAATTAAGAAATACAAAATTTTCTCTGTTTGAAGTTGGACTACAGTTCTTTAGGCACATCAATGATACCTGTGTGAGAGTATGATTTTCTTCATGTTGTCAGCCATGAGAAAATTGTAGAAGCGTCTGAATTGATCCCACTGCAGGAATGTTTCCTGTGCCCTGAGAGATAAAGACAAACACACAGGAAGTGAGCTTTGTGCAGCCTGTCTGCATTCCAAACAACACACTAAATGTCCTGTGTAATCCACTGGACAAAGAGTCCTGCTGGCAGACAGCAGCAATGGTGTCAGGCTTTAACATGCAGCTCACTGACGGGGGCAGGCCGAACCAACACAACGACTATGATTGTTTTGAAAATAACTGACACAATGTTTTTCTATTTCCTTTTGGCATTTCAACAACATGAAAGGTCAAATACATCTATAAAAATAATCAATCAATACTCATTATTAGTGGAAAAGAGAGTAGGCACAGCTGACACAGAATGCAGGAACATTTCAAAGCCTATTTCTCAAAAGGCCATGCTCTAAAGACACATCATTCTTTACTGCTTTCATCCAAACTTTAACAGACGCAGCCTCTCATGTCTGCCACGATACGCTAGCTGCATTTAAAGCACAGAAGGTGTGGATCTGTCCAACATGAGCACAGAGTCTGCTCCAACACCCGCATGTAAGAGTGGTTTTAAATCACCATTGTACAACATTTGTTTGCCCTGCATGATTTCTAAATAGGATGCTATGTACACAGAATGCTTTTTCTACCCGTGCTGTCAGACAAATAGTTCAGTTTGTTTCATTGTAGAAATAAACCCTTCTGCTCTTTAGTAAAAAAGACACAGCCTGAAGACAAAGAGACAAGCTCCACTACAAAGTAAAGGCAAACTGTAAAAAAACTAAAACTGGATAGAAAACAAATACCCTGCGGCTGATCAGAAATCATTTTTAAAATGTTGCAAAAGAGAGCCGTCTATTAATTAAGATTAAAATAGCAAACAAAATAGCTGCATGACTAAAAGAGAGACTTTTTGTGACAAAACATGTGATTACATAAAGCGAGCAATACTCATTTTGTGGCATTGTGCCGAGCTTCATTTATATTTAGAAATGTGCGCACATCAAGTGCTAGTGGTGGCTTTGATGATAGGATGCATTTTAATTAAGAGATGAGAGGACAACAACCCACCTGAGCGCGCTGTACCCCTGACAGACGCTGACGCAACACAGCACTCGCTCCTGGTTGGTCCTGTTCTCGCCCAGGAACTTACAGACGATGTTTCCACCAAGACTGAAGCCCACCACCATCAGCTGCGTCTGAGGATACGTCCGCTTAATGTAGCCCACCATGGCCGCAAACTCCCATGTGCACCCTGCAAGGCAAGTTAAAAATCAATATGTAATAATAACACCTCTCTGGATGGACTGTTTCTGTTACATTTGTGTCTCTATAGACCTTTAAAAGGTTCCACGGACTGAAATCCCTTATTATCTTTCATTCTGGGAGCCCTATGTTCACACTCCAGCTCATAACGCCTTTTAGCTTTGACCTATAAATTATGTTGATTTGTCCTAATGAACTGTGATATCAAAACACCTTTTACAAATCATCAAATTGAAATGAGTGTGCCACCAAAGGACATAACATGCCTCAACCAGACAATTTGATGAAAGTAACAGCTGATCAGAAAATGATGATATAGTATTACAGATTATTTTATCAAATCAAAGCCTTTTTTTAATTTATAAATGAGGTTGTCACTCCCTAGGTAATTCTGATATGAAAAGGTGTTTCTGAGGTGGCAGGAGAAAACATTTGAAGGCAGCTCGTTGGCTCACCATAGGTAAACATGCGCGGAGAGGTGAGCTCGATGTTGGGAAGAGCTCCAAGGTGGTTCAGCACAGCGCAGCGGTAACCGTCCTTCTGGGCGTAATCCACAAAGGTTCGAATGTAATGCTTCTCGCTATGGTTACCAATACCAGGGCATATCACCATGGTGATGTCATCTGGTGAAACAGGCAGATGGAATCAAATGTTTATTAACCGGTGAGAAATATGAAAGCACAGTATGTCACTCTCCTAAACAGCAAATTAATGGATTTAAAGGAAGCAAGGCAAAGCACTGCAGCAAATCTAAAATAAAGGATTGGGTTTTCTGTTTATCATTTAGAAAAACAGAATGGAAATAGGAAGGTTACTTTTTTTTAATTAAATTAAATGTCTTTTAAGTCTTATGTTTTCTGAGATAGTTCAAAGTTGAGGTGGTCGGGCCAGGTTCATTACAAATGTGCTATCCCTCATTAAAAAGAATCAGCCACTTATAAGAGTCCATTTTTTTTACCATAAGCTGAATTGGAATACTTAAATATTAAAAGATGGCAATAATGTCAGTAGTGAATTTACTTTACAAGTCTGTTTTCAATACATCTTAAATCACCTATATTTATTTAGCTCAACAGCCTCTTTCCCTGACCCTCGCTCTAAATAAGGAACAACTCTCCCAGTAGCAGAACAATTAGAAAAGGTTGCATGAATTGTCTTAACAAAAGGAGCAGTAGTAGAATTACAATAAAAACACGTTGAAGTGTAATATACAACAAAAACTACAAACTGCTGAGGAATATTAAAATATAAGTCTTTGACCTAGATCATCATTGTTTACTCTGTTTCTTGTTTCTCATGGCTCAGGCATGTAGCCTTGGGGAGTTGCTGTTATCTCTCTCAGATAGAGGCAGCTCTGTCTCTTTCTATTGCCAGTTTATAAAATAGTTTATTGTCCAGGGACACCTGGAAGTCCAGCATATCAGATCAGATATCGTCCCTCTGGCAGACAACCATAAGTTAAAGACAAAAAGTTCTATTGCCCTGCTTGTTTCATCTAAATATAAAGAATGTTGATTTATTATTTTCTGAACTAGTTCAAATCTCTGACGAGGGGAAAGATTCTTCAGAAAACAATTGTAAATGTTTTTTTTATGTTTGGTATAAAGAGCCAATCAACCATCAACTATTCAGGTATGGTCAATCAACCAATGAAAACAAATGATTGTTAAAGAAGAAGTGTTGTTGATCAAATGCATTACCTCCTGTTCGATGGTCACCCACTGGCTCAAAGAGGTCAAAGGTCGCAGTGGCCCCGTCCTGCATGGGTAAGTACTTTCTGACTCCACTAGGGTGAGGAGAGCTCACCCGACCAAGTTTACCATACAGCGCCGTCTGGAGATGACCACTTTTACCCCAGAGTAATGGAGGAATGTACCTAGAAAACACACACAAAAAACATTACAATCTACAATCATGAGCTAATTTCACCGATGCACTCAATAAAAACACAAGTTAGTGCCCAGAATTAACATTTACACAATTTTATCCTGAGCACAGACATTTGCATTGGTGGTTTATGATGCAGACATTTACATTCTGATTCATACATTTTGCCTACAAAGTCACATTTGGCTGGGAGCTTTGGAAAGTCATGCCCCCCACAGACATAATTGTTGATGTCAGTCTGTAGCTGTGTAACTTGAATACGAGCTACACCTCTGCAGGAGTGAGCTTTAGGAGTCAAGTCTTACGTAATATTTCTTTGAAATATTGAGCCATATGTTGGGAAATATTATGAATCATTTCCAGACTGGTGCCAAAATAATTTGAACAAGTTGACCTTAAAACCATTTTAGGTGCTGTTTTTTTCAGCTGCCTATCCTATCATATGAAGGAAAGATTAGTCAGTGCTTTAGTAGTAGACATGATGGTTGATAAAATGAGATAAGTTCTCATTTAAAAATGCAGGCATAAATTAGATGATTAATGAATGTCATTCAGTATAGAGAGAAGCTATTAAAGGGGTTATTAAGAAACAGCATAGTTCACAGGTTAGAAGGAGACAAACCAAGCCTTTAACAGTTCAAATCTAATACAAATACACGTTGCTTGTTTATGACATGTTAGTAAAGGTTTGCTTCTTCACACTTTAAACTACATTTTCAACTACATTTTTTAAAATCCGGGTTAAGAGTTGGCCATCTTAGAAGTGACAAATTCAAGATAAATCAGATCAGCATAACTGTAAGCGAAGGCAAGAACGCAACATGGACACTACTTTTGTGTATACAGTAAGTACATAGACCAGAACACAGACAGTAGTAGAAGCTGAGAGCAAAGGCCTCAGCTACATCAATAGTTACACAAGCCCTTTAACCTTGTGTTTGCTCATCTCTTCCTGGGACACCCAACAGTAGCTGCACCTTGAAAATACACTCTTACATAAGAGCGCTGTCAATCACAAAGCATCTGGTGATAATGTAATCACTTCCAGCATTCACTGAAGGTTGAAGCTTAACCACAGGTTTCTAGAAGGTAAATGGCAGGCTTAATCTGTATGACTGCAGGAAGAGGATAGACTCATAAGTGTAATGTGGATAACATAGTTGGCAGGTTAGTTGAATTCATCCGGAGGAAACAGACAACTTAAAACAAAAAAATACTTTTTTTCTATATTTGTATTTTTCTATTTGTAATCTGAAAAATGTCGATCACTAGGCCCAATAAATACCCTTTTGCCAATTAAAATGACAGTGCAGTACACAAAGGAGTTTAACCTCTTGAGAAAGATAGATATTTGTGTTCTTCAACGTATAACTATAATTGAAATTATTAAAAAGTACTCTTTACTACAACTGTATCCAAATATATTGGGAGTGACAGGTGAGCCTTTTGTTTAAATCTCAGAGTTTGTTTTATTTAGCATTATAAACACAGCAGTGTGTTGTTGTTCCTCATAGCCATTAGGTAAGGGGGAAAAGGAAACAGATGTGTCAGTGTGGTTTGATCAAGCAAAGAGCTTTAGTACAGACGTAGAATCACAGGCCTTTGATCGGTGCAGGGTGGGGAAATAACAAAAACTATTTGTTCATATTTAAAGAAGACAAAACAGCTTGTCCTGACAATGTTGTCTCTTTTCATTGTGAGACTCTATTTAACTGTTCTTTCCATGTTATGTCTGTTATTGGTCTGTCTACAATCTCCTGCTGGCTTGACACATGCACTTTTAATATCACATTAGCTCACTTAATATCACTTGTCCTCTCTGTTAGCCAACAGCCAAGTGTGCATGTTGCCAAACCAAATGATGTTGACTGTTAACTTCACAGAAACCCTCCTTTGCTTTCCACTGAGTAATTGATCTTGGTTACACAACACTGCAGGGTTACAAACATGACATCTAAACAACACAGAGACACAACACGGATGATGCACACGCCAATATGAACAATATAGACACTAGGTTAAAGAACTTTAATTATCTCGGTTCAAGCACACAGGGAGGCAAACATTCCTCTGAGCAAAATATGGCAGTTCAGGAGGGAATGATAACAAGCAAGGCACAACTGGAAACATCAGTGTGGCCTTATGATCCATTGTCACTGCAGCTGAAAGGCAAAGGGCTCAGTAACAATCGGTTATATAAGCAGTCACTCATGATGAGATCCACCCTACAGAGCTGAAAGTATCACAACACCAGAATAAAGCAAGACATAGACAGTGATGCTCATTCAGGAAAAACTATAAAGTGAACTTTAAGGACAGGTAAAGGGTTTCCCAGAACCTACAGCACATTGTTAGAGCAAAGCGGCTAACCTGGTTTAGACTTTACAAGAAGAAGACCTGCCTCCCACAGCTCTGCAACAACCAATGGTTTGCATCAGTCATTATAAACCCAGATGGAAGATTCAAATATAAGAAGATATCGGAATTGCCTTGAGGGGGAGACATGCAGCGTCATAAATGCAAATGTGTTTGCCCGGTGGAGAACAAGTCTATATTTGTAATGCAAGTGAAACAAACGGTCTACCTTTGGGATAAACCCAAACAACAGCCTGGTGTTTAATTCATGCCAGAGCTTAGGGCACAGCCACATATCTCTGGTACAGACTCTCAGGAACACTGATGACAGATGGGACCACTGCCAGGCAAACTGCTACCTTCACTCAGCCCCAGATGGCTGACGAGCAGTGCCATATTCATGGGAACACCCTGAGTTACTCACTCTTTGGTCAGCTGAGGACAGGACTTGAGAAGAAAGCGGTTGAGGGGTGTGTCCTGGTAGGAGAGGTCAGGGGGTGCAGTGGGGCTCTTAAGGTTTAGGCAGCGAACGAGGATGTAGAGCACAGTGGCAACCGCCGCCAGCTTCATGCCGTCGAACATGGCTGGCAGCTCCGGAGAGATGGTGTGCACGTCTGTATTCTGGGTGTTCATGATTATTCTGAAAAAGAAAAACAGTGGCCCATTGTTTCAGTGCTGTCAGTGCTTTCCCTTGCCTATTTAGAATATACAATATACTTAAAATAAAAATAACTAATATAGTCTATTTACAAATGCAAAGCCAATGAATGAAGAGCTTCTTTTAAAATCAAACATACTCCTTTTTTTACTATAAAAAATCTAATCATGATAAGCACCCATTTTTGTACATAACGTTTAAATTATTTCCTTGAATTTGGGGTAAACTGTGTAAGTCATAGATGGAATGAAGCACAGACATAGAAAGGAGACAAATCTGATGTTGTCAGACTGACCTGAATATTCACGCTCAAAGTGCTGCAGTGACAGATCTGTGGGAATATAGGCGGGAGCAATTTAGTCAGATAAAGCACTTATTTAATACACTCTTCTTAATCACTTTACAGCCGACGAGGTGCCAATATAAAGTTGTGTTACATAGAAGATTGAGAGGGGGACATTACTTTAAATAAATCAAACACACTGCACACATCACTTCTAATGTGATGTCCAACAGAGATATGCCTTAACATATTTACTTAAAAAAGCTACATGTGTTGTTTAACACTTACACTAACCAGTCAGCTGAGCTGTGAGACCACAAGGCAAAAACAGAAACTATCAAGATCACAGAGAGATTGCAGTATCTCATGTCACCAAAGAAAAGGGGAAGAAATGGAACTGGATTTTAAAAATTAGATGACAGTGTTTCCATTGTTAGGGAAAATGCCCATAAAAAGACTGCATTTTGCTACTTTTATTCTGATAAAGATACATTACAAGCATTTAAAATTGCACGGATAAAAGTGCTCTTTACTCACATTTTATGTTCAAGTCTGCCTCCAATGACAGCTCTAAAAGTCTGAGTATCTGAAGAAGGCGAAGTCACAGTGATGTGGTCAAACCTAGAGACAAACACATAAAATGGATTAGGCTTAATAATAAACGGTATTATTTTCAATGTGTCCTTAATTATGTTGAAGGTCTCATATAAGTCGCTTGATACTACAATAGTCCACTGTCTTGCCAAAAACCTGTCTCTGGATATGTTTCACTGCAAAGCATGATGTCATCACAGTAATGTAGGGCTCAAATTATTGTTAAACTTATGAATATTGATATTGTATACATTTTTCACTATACAAAAGTTATATTTAGTTACTTGCTTTTCTCCACTACTGTTACTCCTTTGAATAATTAGGATAACATTGTTTAAACCCTAAAAGACTAAGTTCATCTGAATGTATTACCATGTAACAGTGTATCTGCCCTCAAACCACCTCAAGGGAGATCAGGGGAAGGTATATTAACATGATCACATGACCACATGATCTTCTTACTATAAAGTATATCGTTTAAAAGTAATATATATCCTGCTCTTTCCATTTAAAATTAGTGTTTTGCGACACAAAAGGAGGTAAACAGCACTTCTACATTTAATAAAATTATTATCTACAAAATAGCTTTAGCCCAACTATTGTAGATGTTGTACACAACACCTGTAAACATAGCTCAGATACAAACAAACATGGTGCCAGTTGTATCCCCAGCTACATTATATTTTCTGTATTAAGTAACCCCTCCCCACCTCCACAGAGCTAACACCCCTGTCATCCACTGTCAACAGATCCAGTGAGTAGGTAAATATGGCAGTTGTTCTTGCTAAAGTGTGTGTATTATAAGCAACGCCATGTCACCTTATAAACTATCCACTTTGGCATCAGAGCAGCTGCTAACATTTGATCTTCCTTTTTTGTCACGACTCACAACAAACCAGAGAGGAGTTAGCAGACACAAGGACACACATACCGAGGTTAGTTAGCTTACATAGCGAGAAAATTGTTATAAATAGGTACATTTCTGGACGCAAATAAAGGACCTGCGCATCTGTGTTATGTTTATCCGGGAGCAGGCCAATAAGCCCCGCTGCATCTACGGTCACCCTGCTGGTACAGATAATGAAAACCATGTTATCTTTTTGACGAGTTAACTGTAAACCGTGAATATTTAGTAAGTAAGGTCAAATATCGGTAATATACCAATAAAAAGCAGCACAAGTGGCCCGTTTTTCTTCTAAGTATTGGTGTTGTTGAGCCCATCTAGAGTAACGGACAGTCTTAATGGTCATGTGTCTGCCGTTGATGAGGTAGCATCTCTGCTGTATCAACCAGAAACACAGCAGCATCTTTAGCTCACTTACCTCGGCTTAGAATAAAGGAATCAGCTCCTTGCTGCTCGAACGCGACAGTCCAATTTTATATTCGTTGCATTTTGTTTGTTTGTGTTGGTTTCTGAGGCTCTAGCGTTAAACCATAGCTGACGGATGAGTAGTACGCACTCTAATTCACAGAGCTGAAGCTAGCCATACTAGCTGAGGAACCAACAGCAGCTCTGACATACCTGCTATCTCATTGGTCAAAAGGGACGATGACGCGGCATCTGAGCTCATTGTCAACGCCCCTTATCTGTGAAAAATCACAATGCCATTTTTCCATGCATTTTTCCCATTTCTTTGTTATTAGTATTATAAAACAGTTTGGCAAATTATAATATTATGTTTCCCCTTGTTATGACAGTTTCCTAAAGAAAACTATATTACCGCAGGACGCAAACGATGTATTCATTTTAACAAAAACCTGTCCCTAACGTGACAGGACCGTGCTAAAACCTGTTACATAACATTTCAACCACACTGATCTACATAGAGGCATGCATGATGAGTGCCTCTTGGTTATTATTGTTTTAAATCAGCAAATACAATGATGTAAAAGTACAACTTTTGGTTTCGATAACCTCTCAACTTCATGTTAAATGTGCTTATTAAGATAAGGTAAGATAAGATAAGATGGACTTTATTTATCCCGTGGGGAAATTCAGGAGTTTAAAGCAGCAACAGAGTGAGAGTGAAAAACAGGACAGTAGCCTACAGATTCACAAGAGGATAATACAATTACAAATAACATGTTTTATGTATTATACTGATAGATTAATAAGATATTTAATGAATCCACGTGTCTAGCAGTACATTTCTAGCCATACACTGTATTGTTTTACCAGGACAAACTCCAGAAGGCTCCCTGTTGCAATTACAACATTACATCCACCTGATGGCGACAGACTTTAACACATTATTTTATGAAGTTTTTACCCCATGGATTTCCAATTCATGTAACAGTAAAATAACATCGAGTAATGCTTAGGTTTCAACTAAACAAACGTTCTAATTATAAAGCAAATGTTACATTAATAATGTTATCTCGACAATTAAAGGCCATGTGATAACAATATTCGACAACATGACTTAACTGCGCCTATTAACCTCTCAGAAACCTTTCTGCCAACAAATCCAAGATGAGAGTATAGGCTACTTATGCAGTCAACATGTCGATGTATCCTTGGGCAAGATACTTAACCCTGAGTTGCTCCCGATGGCATGGCCAACGGTGTGTGAATGTGTGTGAATGTTAGGTCCTAGAGTAAGGTACACTGTTCTGTATGAATGGGTGTGAATGGGTGAATGACATGTAGTATGTAAAGCGCTTTGAGGGGTCTTAAAGACTGGATAAAGCGCTATATAAGTACAGTCCATTTACCATTTACTCTAATTGGAAACAACATGGATTTGACCTTTAAAGCTTTATCTTAAATATAATTACTTGTGGGGCAGTAATTGTCTTCCACCTTATATTTTGCTATGTATCCCAAGTTATTGCATAGTATAAGTATTAAATTGAGTTGCAACAAATGTTTTTGTTGGAAGAATGAGCAAAAATGCCAAGCAGCACGTCAAACAAAAGGTAACAAAATGTCACAATGTTAAACATAGGCTCAGCATTAATTAATATTCCAGGAAGCGTCCACTGTTTCTATCTGTTTACTGGCCTGCCTCTGCACTCTCCGCCCATTTAGCGTCACATGTTAATCCCGGCTCCCTCATTCATCACTTCGTCCTTCCTTTATATTCCAGTCGAGATTTCTTTTTTCCTACAGCACTTAAAGGCAGCGCCGCGTCGCCCCGAACAAACGATCCTGCGAAACAAACAAAGTGAGAGTAAACAAATATGAAACGTCCCGGACATGTTATAACAGCGACTTTGTCAACATTAACTCTTCTACTTTGTCTGTGTTCAGTCAGAGGTAAGTCCTTTTTAAACCACCGACATCGTTTTAATCGCATTCATACACAACTCCTCCTGTTGTTTATGGTTGGGTTTATACTTCTAACAGCAGTCTTCAGTCACTTTTTGAATAGAAGACTTTGGTACATAACTATGCCAACTACTCTTAACCTATTTCTTCTTTCTGTTTTCAATTTCGATGTTTGTCATTCATTCGTTAATATGTATTTTAGGCTACTTTAAGGGACTCTCCAGTTTTGTTTTTCCTACTGTTTGTTAATGTCTCTTTGTGATGGGAGAAGTGGGGGCTTTTCTGAATGACAAAAGAGGAGATGTGCTATTTTCTCGGTTATACACTGTTGTAGCTCTTGTATACCAAAGTCGTTCAATTGTACAGTTTTTTCCACATCATATAAAATCCATTACCAAATGATGAAATGACCTCAGGTTTTAGGAAAATATGCAGGGGAAAGCAGTCAACATTTAAGTTGTAAGTCTTTCATGCAATAATGTGTGATTAAAAGTCAGACTAATCTTGTATTTAATAAATAAATTAAGATATATTTTTACAAGGTGATAATGTTGCAAGAGGCACGTTTGTAAAAAAAAAAAAATCACTTGCAGTGATGAAATAAAGTAGGCTTTTCCCCCTATATTTGACTTGAGTAATTCTTTTTTATGCAGATGTATTCGTCTACTACTAAAAATTGCACTTAAAAGCTTTAGGGAATTATCAGATGAGGCTACAATTTCTCAGCCCCTTAACAAGTGTATTATATATATCTACAGACGAGTTTATTTGTAATGTTCTAAACACTGAAAGATGATTTGTTCCGTTTCAGGTTGAGAACATTCTCATACTTCTTAAGATGAAATAGCCATTTAAAAAAACTTCTCTGATCAGCTGGAAAATGTATTATCACAAAGCTGTAAGGGTAATGCTTCAAACATAATGGTCTTATATAATATGATGCATTGCTAGTTTAAACTACCCAACATCATATCAAGTTTAAACTTATTACAACCATAAACATAGACAGCAGCAAATGCAAAATGCAACATACATATTAATGCAGGACTAATATTAATCCAAAAAACATTATTGTCAAACTTTGCCCATGTTTCATTTCAGTGCACACTAAATGTAGCATATCAATGACGTGCATCCTTTTAATGAAGGTAGGTTGTAAATGCAGGACTTTCACAGGGTGGTTATCAGCCCTTAACTTTAAGTGCATCTCCAGGTATTCCCCCCCTGTGAACAATATTTTTGTATATATTATATTTTCATGAAATATTTTCCCCGACTAAACTCACAGTTTGTGTACATTCACGGGTATATGTGCCTCTTTAATGACCCGCCTGTCAGTCAGGTGTGCTGTATGTCCTCAGCCACCTGCGAGCTGCTGCACTGTCATGTTGTGTAACTCGCAGTCCTCAAAGAGCTGCAAGCAGCAGTGCAACGTGCTAATCCTGCAAGCTCTTAATCCTGCACGTGGACATATTTTGTTGTGTGTTGTCAAAATTATGTTCACTATATACGCAATAGAAAACATTAACTGCTCTCATAAAGATACCGTTCTTTAAAACATATCAGAAAAAGACAAACAAAATACATTCAAACATTTATAGGGCACCTTTTTGAGTTTTCAAATGATCAATAACCAATTTTATAAAACCACATAATATTAATGTTAAATCACATTATTACACATCTTACTCAATTCTGATTGGTCAATTTGGACAATTCATAGGTTGCTAAAAATAGCTAACACACAGCTGCTAAAACATGACCGTTGCTAAGGAGGATCAAGGTAAATACGTTTGTTTGTCAAAATGCTCAGAGTTGTTCTCATGCTGAACCATGTCTGCCCAGTTCTTAGACGTTTAACAACTCGGAAATATGTTTATAGTATATCAAAAAATGTTTGAGTACGTTAAAAAAAAAGAGGACATTTTCACAGACTCAATGTCATGCTCCATTGTTGAGGAGTAGAAGAGAAGGTCTGCAGGATTCACACATTTCCAGTTTTTACCCCAAAGATGCCAGAGAAAGTTGGATGGTGATGACTCTGCTTGGCACCTACTGACTCAACGTGCTGGTTTAAAAAGAACAAACTCACAGATGATTTGTTAAGGTTTTGTAACTTTGACAGCTCCAGTGTGACTCATAACTCTATGGCCTACCACTCCCACTGGAGGTCAAGGCCATCATTTTCCTAATCCAGCCAAGGTCTGTGACTCAGCACTTTGGGCTGAGGCTGCAGCAGCAGCAGCAGCAGCAGCAGCAGCAGCAGCAGCTGTGTTGTTACAGACGCTCAGCCAGACAGAGGAAACACATCCTCTTTTTCCCTTCCCAGTACACATTCTGATGGTAAAACTCTGAGCCTGTGATCTGACAGTGGGACAAATATCCCTCGGCTCGTTGTTTTTTTAACGTTATAACTAATATTAATAGAAGCACCTTACCAATGGGATTTTGGAATCTAGACATAGTATACTTGGGACTTAAAGTTAGGATATCTGAGGCTGCTGCTTCAGTCTAAATGAAAACATCTAATTAAAATGAATTTGAGCAATTAATATACAAATATCAATAATGCTTCAAATAAAATGTTTCAAGGCATTCAAAAACAATTATTACTTATTATGACTTATAAAAATGTAAACACTAAGAAACGTTCAGTACAAGGATCGTTTATCTCGGTGTATGACAACAATACAAATAAAATGCAGCTAATATAATAATTGAAATCTATCTCTTGATAAGTCGCCCAACTTTATGCAAGGCAACACTAAATCCCTAGAGAGCATGTTTGAACAAATGTTATTGAATTGAATGTTTATGTGATGGTACATTTGGATTTCGCCCCAATACAAATGATTTGTTTCACTTAAAATAAAGATCTAAATTCATTCATTTTGCCAGAGTGACTTGTGACAACATTCAGGAGTGTGAGCGTTTTTGGTTCAGCCCTGATTTAAACCTGTGGGTTTAAAAGGTAACAGAGATAGCATAACAGGATCAGGAGGCTAAAAGTGTGAATCTAAACAACAAGATGTTGTAGCGGCTCAACACTCTGCTTTATTATAGCTACTAGCAAGAATGTGTGTTTCTGGTGTCCAAGGCAACATTTGAAATACACCACTCTAAATGTGAAAAGCATAAGCAGTAACTGTTGTAGGACAGAGTTTGATTTAAAATGTAACTCCCTGTTTTTCCTCATTACCTCAGGTGACTTCTGTGAGGTGAATGTTTGTCTCAATGGAGGAACGTGCGTGACAGGGATAGGAGAGGATCCTTTCATCTGCATCTGTGACGATGGCTTCGCTGGAGACACCTGCAACCTGACAGAGACAGGCACGGCTAACTGGAACCTTTTGGAATAAAAGCAATGCTCGTTCAGACACCTTATTCTATTTATAACTGATTATCTCCTTCTTCTCTCAGGACCCTGCAGTCCAAACCCCTGTAAGAACGATGGGTCGTGCGATATAATCACTCCCACCAGACGAGGAGACGTTTTTAACGAGTACGTCTGCAAGTGCCAGCCTGGCTTCGAGGGAGCGCACTGCCAGATCAGTAAGTTACTTCTGATCGGATTAGTGAGTCTGAGCTGCTAACACTGTGCACTCACATACAACTACACAACATAAATACATTCGAATTGCTCTCTGAGTTGCAATTTATTTATCCAATACATTTGGAAAGCTTTTATTTAACCGTTAAGGGGTGACATGAAGGGTTTATTTTTCAATGAAGATTGTAAGGTTGAAATGAGAAAGCATTGGATAATAAGACTTGTGCCTTCTAAAGAAACAAGGGAAAGTAGATGATATAGCTGTGTGACCTCCACGTTCAGCAGACTTTTCTTAAAGTGTGAACACATGAGGATTTTCCATCCTGTCATAGCATCAGTAGTGAAAGACTTGTTGTCAGTTCAGCAGTCCCATGAAAGGGCCTCATTCAGCGAGATGTTTGGGCATTCTGTTTGGCTAAATAGTAAAAGGCCACTCAAGTCTCTTAGCATGCAGACGCCTTCCACCCAGGTTCATCTGTTTTGTGCTCAAGCTTGACCAAATCAGATGGAGAACATGATAACAGTGATTCCCATCACATCCTCTTAATACATGATTTAGACACATTTAGGGAGCTTAGGGTCATTATTGGAAGATTGGCTTTAGAATAACTAAAGGATGGAAATAGAGGATGGTTTTCTCCATGTGTTAATGTGATTATCTGAACTCTGGCCAAGACTTGGAATGAAAAACAACTCTCAGCTTTGTGTGAATGACATCTGAAAGAAAAATACGTAGAATGAAAAGTAGTTGTGCTCGGAAGAATACGTTCAGTACTTTAATTTATGCTATTACTGAAGAGGCATTTTTTGTGAATGAACAGTTCACCTCAAAGCCTACAGTCTAACCACCAATTGTAGTCTTCCTGCAGCCTGGCCGTCGACTCCCAAACTATTTCTAATTTTGTTTCAGTCAGACGTCATTGGCTTGTGTTGGGGGTGGAACCTGTCCCATAAACTATGTACAGGAAATGCACAAACATTCATAGTAAAACTAGGGTATGATTAAAAGGTATTCCAAAGGTTAAAAAGGCTAAATTAATTTGAATATGGAAATATTTAAAAAATATTTTTGCTAGAAACAGTAGAAACAATCAGAACAATTTCAAATTTGGCATGAATGTCAACAGTGTTGCTATAACATGGAAAGTAATCGCAGTTTAAATCGGGAAGGCTACTTCCAGTCCTTTCTTTTGGGAGCAACGCCTGTTTACCCGTGTTATAAGCTGCCTGTTTGTCACAGCCATGTGTTTGTAGTGACCAATCCTCTTAGTGGTTACAGGAAACAGAATTAAACTGACCCATGTGGCGTTAAGTCAACTTGTCTTCTACTTCAGGTCTGAAGTCTGGTAGAGTTCCTTAATGTGATGGGACATCACAAGTAACATAACATGTGGAGTTTTATTCCAAAATATTAAAAGATAAATGTGTGAAAGCACAGAAGTGTGAAGGCTTAAGGTAAATACTCAAGCACTCAGCGGAGGACACATTTAGCGCATTGGTAATAGCATAAAGATTACTCATGTTCAACAGGTGGTACTTTTCCCTCATGAAATTGAACCATGGCACAGCATTACATTAGAAATGACTGGAAACTGAGGAGCTGAAGTAAGAGTTATTCTCTTGAATTGTATGTGTTTTCAAGTGGATCAGCTCAGAGTGAGCAACAGGGCGTGGAGCTGCAGACTGTGACCTGCTTGCACTTATGACTGTCTAAATCAGGGGTGTCAAACTCAATTTCTTCGCAGGCCACATCAGCATTATGGTTGCACTCAAAGGGCCGGTTGTAACTTTAAGACTATATATCAAAATATATATATAAATATTTAATATATATAAAATTATGTATTATATGATATTATTGCCTCTGCATTGGATTGTTATCGGATAGAGTAATAACTTCATAATTAACTACGTCTGAAAGCAGAAGTCTATGGCAAATAATTGCAAGTCTCTTCACTGAGAATGTCACAAAATTATTTAAAAATTCTAATTCTAATTCTGAGAAAAAGGCAAATTCTAAGAAAATATGAATATTTTGAAGAAAATAAGTCAAATTCTGAGAAAAAAAACTTGTTATGAGAAAAAAAGTCAAATTCTGAGAAAAAAGTCAAATTTGAGATGCATTGTGGGATATGTAGTTTATGGGCAACGTGCTTCTGTAAATCGGCATGTAACCGTATAATAAACATATTATATCCTTTGCAAGCTCTTGAGGGGCCGCATGAAATGAAGTCGCAGGTCGGATTTGTCCCCCGGGCCTTGAGTTTGACACCCCTGGTCTAAATGCATAGGTTAGGTTTCAGGAAACGTAATAAACGTTTCAAACATCCACTCAAAACCAAACATTCCCTCTGAGAACTATGGTTTTTGACCAGATCGTAATGTATATGCAAAGACTATCATTACCAAAGGATCTCAACACATTTCCTCCAGTAAAAATGCACTGTTGATTCTTTCTCTGATCAGCTGGTTTTCTGCAGTCAGTCCCTCAGGGAAACCCAACTGTGTGTAGGAAAATAACATTGTGTTTGTTGGTCTACCATCTGAACATTGTTGAATTCAAATGTCTCTAACCATTTGGTTAAGCACCCTGCTAAGGGAATATTTTAGTTTTTTCTAAATGTAATAAGAAGAGTATAATGTTGCTGTCCTGATGAATGTTTGCATCTGTCCTACTCAGCTAAATAAACCATGTAGACAAGCTCAGCAAGCATGCCACCTTGTGGAGGTTTTTCAGTTTTACGGGTGCAGTGTTCAAAGGCTGATACAGGAAGTGGCAACATGTTTTGTTGCCATGGTTACAGTGGAGTAAAACAATGTGATTTATTGACTTATTTTACAGATTGTAAACAAAACACATTTGAAGCTCTGTTTTTGGGTTTGTCCGTTACGAATATCAGAACTGAGTTTTGTTGTTGTTCACAGTTTAGTTTCAGGGCATACAGAGAACAACAGCTCCATTTATACATTTCAATTTCCATTCATCTGCATAAACATCTAAATAAGGAATATAGTAATTGTAGATTGGTAAGGAACAACTATAATAATAATAATAATAATAATAATAATAATAATAATAATACAAATAAAAACTGATAATAAATTGAAGAGAACATCAATGAATAATAACAAAATATCACATTACATTTGTGGACTAACTGCATACAACATTTGAAATCTCTTTCTGTTCACATTCATTCAAACACAACGCTTTCACCCCTGAACAGCTGTGGTCTTTAAACGTGGTTTCCAGGATTGTCCCATCTCCTCAGTGTTGCATTTCTGTCATCGTGTTCGATTAAGGAGAAACACTTGTCACCAACTGCGTGTTAGAGACACAGTGAGGCTATTGTGGCCCTCCTCCACCTGCCTCAGCCTCCCTCTGTTCTGTCTTTCCCAGTGTCTTTCTGGGCAGGTGTGCTTCACATCTCTAACAATCGCCTTATTTGATGAAGATAAAGTTAATTTGAGGAGTTGAAAATAATAAAGCAATTTGTTTTTGTTCTTTTTCAGATGTGAACGACTGTGCAAACCAGCCCTGTAAGAATGGAGGGAAATGTCGAGATCTCGATGGAGACTACACCTGCCAGTGCCCCTCACCGTATGTTGGGAAGCAGTGCCAGCTACGTATGTTCAAAAACTACACATCGTTTTAAAGTCCTTTCTCAGATACCTGTATCCTCATGTCGCTTGCTTGCCCTTAGAAAAACGTTTTAAGCCTTTTCAAAAACAACAGATTTTCACTGATTTGCCTAAATAAAAAAAAATACCATTTGTGAGTTGTATGTATTATAACTTAATTTTTTTGTTATTGATGTTTTTAAATGTGAAATACCAAATAATGCACCTGACATTTTTTAGCACTACAATCGCAGTCAACAAAGAGGTTGCACTGTTAATTAATTCAATGTGATTGTAGTAGCTATTACAGCCTTGATAATATTTGAATGGCTCTGTCCCAGGTTGCACTTCTTTGCTCGGGATGGAGGGTGGATCAATCGTGGAGTCCCAGATTTCCGCCTCCTCTGTGCACTACGGCATTATGGGTCTTCAGCGATGGGGCCCGGATCTTGCTCGACTCAACAACCAAGGCATCGTCAACGCCTGGACGTCAGCCGCCCATGACAGGAACCCCTGGATCGAGGTGGGACGAGTGAACACTTTAAAACATGACGCTTGTGAATGAAAGCTGTGCAGCTGACTTGCTAACTTATTTACAACAGATCGATATGCAGAAGAAGATGCGTCTGACGGGCATCATCACTCAGGGAGCCAGTCGCATGGGCACGTCAGAGTACATCAAGGCGTTCAAGGTGGCAAGCAGCTTTGATGGGAACCTTTATATTACTCACAGAGCTGATGGCCAACGGAGGGACAAGGTTAGAGGCCTTCTCTTGTGATACACGGGTTATTTACAATGTTTACCAGCTGAAAACGTCCCTTTCTTTAGCTAACTTGACTATTTTCTGTGTCTGTGTGTTCCATAGGTATTCATTGGCAACGCAGATAACGACAGCACAAAGACCAACCTCTTTGACCCTCCTATCGTAGCCCAGTACATCCGCATCATCCCTGTGGTGTGCCGCAGGGCCTGCACGCTGCGCATGGAGCTGGTGGGCTGTGAACTCAATGGTAAACACACAGAAACATGCCCTTTAATTCTAATGCAACACAGCATTTGACAAACTTGGCAGATAACAATGGAGATGGAAAAAACTAATGTGATGTTAAAGAAAAAGAGCAGATGGATGACCGTAAGTTCAACCCATGTCTGGCCTCTGTGAACTTAAAGAGGGATAAACCCCTGAAGTGAGGAAAGGCTATTGTTTAGCTTTTCCTAAACTGCCTCTTGTTTGACTGTCTTTATCTGCTCTTGCTGTGGTTATAGCAAAGAACATGATGACAGACAGTATTTTCTGGGTAAACCTCACTGCGCAACAATCAAAGCAGCAATGCCAAGTTGGCTTGCATAGAGAGAGAAAAACACATTTCTGTTTTCTCCACCTCCATTATTTTGTCCTTCTTTGAACATAACAGGTAAAACATTTCAGAGAATCATTGTGAGTGTTTGTACACAGTGTGCTTGCATTCTTCTACTTTCTTCGCCACATTCTATTCCTTCTTCTTGGTCATTCGCGGGTGTATAAAATGATTTCAATCAGTCTTGTTCTCCTGAACTTTTCAAATTGTATTTAAACGGTGAACTTAATTTCTATGGGTGTATTCATCTTTTTTTCTTTCCTCTTTCCCTTTCTGTCGCTTTGGTTTCCACTCCCTCCGTCTTTCCGTCTGATTTTGATTCACAGTTCATTCAAACACGGTAGGTTGCTCAGAGCCCCTGGGAATGAAGTCCCGCCTCATCTCAGACGGGCAGCTAACGGCCTCCAGCTCTTACCGCACGTGGGGCATCGATACCTTCACTTGGCACGCTCAGTTTGCCCGACTTGATAAGCAGGGAAAGACCAACGCCTGGTCTCCTGCACACAACAACCGCTCAGAGTGGATCCAGGTAAGGGAAAACCTCAGCAGTAAAATGTGATTATTGGTTAAGGGTGTCCTTTAAAGCAAGCAGTATAACAGTTGTCCTTGTTCCCTCACCAGGTCGATCTGGAGAAGACATCGCGTCTCACAGGCATCATCACTCAGGGGGCCAAGGACTTTGGAGTGGTGCAGTTTGTGTCAATGTTTAAAGTAGTTTACAGTAACGATGGAGAGTCTTGGAGTACAGTGAAGGAGGAGAAAACGGACTCTGATAAGGTGAACCCCTCAAATGTATTGACTTGATACAGGATACTGTATATGCATGTCTTTGTAAATTAGTCAACGCAGATATTTTTTGAAAAGGTTCTTAGATTGTTTAATCATTGAAATATCTCCTTCTGAGGTGTTTCTGTCATAAACCATAGTCTCTTAAAGTCATACACAAACCTTACAGATTGTGTTAAATAAGTCCAATATGTCAGCCTCTTTCTCTTCATACAAACATATCTTTTTGCTGAACGAGTAGAACCATAGCTTCTTTTTTTGGGAGGACTAGAATATTTTTAGCTACAATAGCAGGACCAAGATGATCCAACTGTCTTTCTTTTTTTTCAGTCGTAAGGTTGTAGTATGATTTACAATCCCTGAAGACATTTGGTGGATTTATTAACTTAATGTGCAGTTTGATCTCTTTTTCAGAATTGTCACATTTAACAGAACATGCTTTGCAATAACATCCACACAATAAATCATTATTTTGTTTTAATTGTCACTCCTTTGCAGCTTTTCCAAGGCAACATCGACAACAACACCCACAAGAAGAATCTGTTCGAGCCTCCGTTCTACGCCCGATACGTGCGCGTGGTCCCCTGGGAGTGGCATGAGCGCATCACTCTGCGGGTGGAGCTGCTCGGCTGCGATGATTAAAAACTCACTTATGATGTAACAGGGCTGAGGAATGAGAGGAATGGATCTCAAACACAATCATTTGTCCTGTACTCCCTTGGGCTTCTCTGAACAACGATCCTGGACTGTAACACTTGTAGCACTTTTTGACTAGTGACCTTTTTATGTTTTATTTAATAACATTGTTTGACATTGCTCACTGAGAAACGTCTACAAAGTACAAATGGTTCAATTGTAATAGCTTTGAATAATAACTAAATGAGCTATTAGTGTTTATTATTTGTTTTCTCTAAGAATTTTAATGAATTTTCGGTTCTTTTAAGCCTGTAGACATGATAATAGGGCTCTTCACCTCATCCATCTGAGTACAACTTTGACTAATTGCTCTGTCCTTCCTTGGCTGTCCAACACTACATTTTAGTTTTAACATTCTGCATAGGGCCGATAACAAACATCCTCACAAGCACACCCACTGCATCTCACTTTGGCCGACTTTGTAGCACAATAGCAACTATAATGACGCAGGGCCTGTGCAATATAGAGTATATATGGCATTTTCAACTATCCTGGAAGAGATAGTAAAAACCTTTTTAAATATCGATCTTCAGTACCCCAATCTATCAATTTTTTCGCATTTTAGCAATTTCATTCTAATTGAATCATGTTTACAACAGTGTGAAATATGTAGACATTTGTATAGAAAATATACATTGTTTTACATTCTTTTTTATTAATATTATTCATTGTTGGTCTTTAAATGATGCCATGTATTAAATAAAAATAATTGTTTTGCACACAATATTTCTTTGTCAAGCAGCTGATATCATGAATGTCACCGGTTACATAAGCCTTTATTTCCCACTGCTTGTTATAACAGTCCTGTTTGGTCTGACAATGTCAGAGTGGGTGTAAGTGGCAGATTTCTGCATGAACAGACTGGTCAGTGAGGCCAGAGGACACAAAGGAGCATTTAGGAAGCTTCTCTGCATTGTTCAGATGTTATCATCAAAAAGACATATTTTGTGTCCAATCATTGCCCAAAGCTAACATGAAAGGAAGATATAGGATATTTTATTATTGAAGCAGAATCAAAAAGCAAACATTTTGAGGAAATAATATGCCATCAGTTGCATCCTGCTTTCTTGCACCACACTAAGCTGTTGTGAGTCTTCTCCATTTTGGACTACTGGGCTTTTGGCTGCTGTCTACTAGAGTAATTACACCCTGTTAGACACTCGTCTCCCTGCTAATCTCACAGCCCTGGTATGTTTGGCCCCTGGCAAAGTCTGTGATATAAATGAGGTGGAAGACGAAGCATTTCAAACACATCTGTCCACACTGTGTATGCCATTCCTTATATGCGTGGGAGTGTATTTATGTAACATAGCAGGGTTTGCTATAAAAGATCACAGTGCTTCGAGGTAAAAAAAAGTCAGCCAACAGCTGGGCTGATAAAGGGACCCTCTCTAGACATCTGCTTTCAGAAGGTTTAAATGAGAAGCAATGGAGTTTTCTCCCAAGATACTCCTACACAAACAGCTGCAAAACATGAGACTATTTATTAAGGAGGGTTTACTATAATTAAAACAAAAAGTGATACTCCCACTTGTGTTTGTGGGAGCAGGACACAAATAACTCATACTGGAAAGTCAATCACGTAGTGCACTTAACCTGTTTTGTAGTATAAAACGTTATCACTTTTGATAATAACTGTTGCCCTAAAAACTGAATGGTTTGGTAGAACAAGACTGTGTTTGAAATTGGAAATCGATCAACATTTTTCAGTTAAATCATTTCCTTTTATATATATTTGAATGTAGCTATTTTTGCAAACAAGTTTGGAAAATGTAATAGTAAGTCCATTTTGTACAATACATTTTAGATTGCTAAATATAATGCAAAAAACAACATTTCTTCCTATTTGACATCAGTCGAAAAACTATACATTTAAAACACTGATGGATGGGGAGTTCTCTATAGCCTACCTGACATCCTGTCCTCCCTCACTCACAGGTTGGAGAAACGCACACAGGTAAGTTTCCAGTCCTATAGCCTGATAGCGACAGAGCATTACAGCCCTACGTCTCAGTTGGAACACTGAACACTCTTATCATTAACTCACTAAACCTGCACAATATTTATATTCGACAGAAACTAGAAGAAGCTAATGTATGCCTTTTGTTCGTTGACCACAAACCCATTTAGCGCATCAGACCTTCTGCGACCTCTTGGAGAAACTCACTTGTTCCCAGCAGCAGACTTCTGACTTTTGTGCCACAGTATCAAAGCTTTCCTTTCGACAAGGATTGACACCTCGCAAGCAAAATATCAAGGTACTTGGGTTCTTTAAGGTAAGTGAGGATAAATCAAAATAGACAAAATGACTGTGTGTCAAATATAGGCTACGTAATCGTTCTTGGCTCCTAATGAGATTTCTTAATTTGTTTTATAAGCTTCATTAGCCTATAAAACAAAAATATACAGATTATTATTATGATCGCGGTGAGGTTGATTTTTGGACTGTTAGCAGTCAGGCGGATCACACCCGAGACCATTAATAAATTACCGTTTTAATTACAAAAAATCAATGTTACTTGCAATACTTCTGTGCTTGCTCGCTTATTTCGATGAGTGTTGTGCTAAAAGAAAAAGCATAATGAAACTTTTTTTGTATGCTGGATTTTTGTCCACCTTCTATATTAAAGTTGTTAATGTGCTTGTTATTTAAAAGTCTCGATTTTCTTTCAATAGCTTCGTCACGTGACCAAGTGACTCCAAATCAGTTCAGCATTTTATTATACACTTGACACAACTATTTCATTGAATTTTAATCCAGCTTCTGTTTATATAACTATCTTTTCTGATATATTTCATATCATGTGGCCCAGTGACTCCAACTCCAAACAAGGTATTATTACAGAGGACAAATGAGACACATCTCTTTTCTTTTTTTTATTGGATTTGGGTTTATAGTCCGTATGGAAGCCCATTTCCGCCACTTGAAAAAAATAAAATCCCATGAAAAGTCATCAATTAGCGAGAATTACAAAAAGTCGAATATGAGATACCAAAGAGCGAAACCACGAGAAAACAAGTCTCACATTGATGAGATAAAAAGCGTCGAAATTATGAGAAGAAAAAGGTCGACAATTTGAGATAAAAAGTCCGAATAAGAGATAACAAGTCCCGAGAAATTCAGAGATAAAAACAGTCCGATAGGAGACAAAAAGTGCGAAATAATGACATAAAAAGGTCGAAAATAACCCCGCCCGGATAAAAAAGTCGAATAACGCGCAAAGCGCCCCCTGAGATAAAGACAGGAGTGCGAAATAACGACGAGTAAAAAGCAAATTGAGTCGAGCATCCGACCCCACCGAGCTGAGATACCCATCGCGGAAGCATAAAAAGTCGAAATTATGAGATAAAAAGTCAAAATTATCAGATAAAAAGTCGAAATTATGAGATAAAAAGTCGAAATAATGAGATAAAAAGTCATAATTATGAGATAAAAAGTCGAAATTATGAGATAAAAAGTCGAAATAATGAGATAAAAAGTCATAATTATGAGATAAAAAGTCGAAATTATGAGATAAAAAGTCGAAATAATGAGATAAAAAGTCATAATTATGAGATAAGAAGTGCGCATGCGCTGCAGTGGCGCTGTCTTCAAAGGTCCCTTCATCACCTTGCTGCTCTCCACCATGCAAACGGCATCTAGTCCTAAATAAGGTAACTATTACAGGTGACTTTTGTAAATGTTAGATGTTACATATAGCCTATATTGCAGCTAAACTACAACAATGCAGTTCATAGCTTTGACATGACCTGTTATGAACTATAATATATATGCCTATAGTTTTGTGGTAACGTTCACGCCACTAATGACAATAGTGTACAGTAGGCATACTGCTGCTGTGAGTTGTAAGCCTAAGACTCTAACCCGTGAANACCTTATTTAGGACTAGATGCCGTTTGCATGGTGGAGAGCAGCAAGGTGATGAAGGGACCTTTGAAGACAGCGCCACTGCAGCGCATGCACACTTCTTATCTCATAATTATGACTTTTTATCTCATAATTATGACTTTTTATCACATTATTTCGACTTTTTATCTCATTATTTCGACTTTCTTATCTCATAATTATGACTTTTCATGGGGATTTTATTTTTTTCAAGTGGCGGAAATGGGCTTCCATAGTAATCCACTGCAGCACATGCGCATTTCTTATCTCATAATTATGACTTTTTATCTCATTATTTCGACTTTTTATCTCATAATTTCGACTTTTTATTTCATAATGATGACTTTTTATCTCATTATTTCGACTTTTTATCTCATAATTTCGACTTTTTTATCTCATAATGACTTTTCATGGGGATTTTATTTTTTTCAAGTGGCGGAAATGGGCTTCCATAGTTTTCAGTTGACACACAGACTTCTGTATTTTTAATTTTGGATGCTTCTACAGGAGATTGTCAGTAGAGGGCAGCACAACACCTTGTTAGTGAGCCCTATCTATTTTCTATGAAAATGTAATTTTGCGAATTTGACCACAATATACTCCTGATGACTGATTTATATGACATCAAACTAAATAAATTACATAGTTTTAAAGGTCTGTTTGAAGGCGACAAAATGTAAGTTAAGGGCATTTGAATGAAATAAAATCCTTTATTTAGATTTTAATAGCTTTGAGTCATGTAACCAAGTGGCTCCAAATCACTACAAAATGACACACTAAACAAATAGGATCTCTTTTGTGGGATCATGGTGTCCCCAGGTCACATGTCATGGAAGGTATTACAAAAAAGATTAAACTTTTCAGGAAATAAATGCTGAAATGTCCATACTAATATATTTACATAGAAAAGAAGGTGGACTATTATGGATGGGGATTTTATTTTTTTCAAGTGGCGGAAATGGGCTTCCATAGGAAAACTATCAAAAACAATGCAAGCATAATTATTCCACTCTGCTTTAAGGGACTTACAAGCCAAGCCAGATTCCTCTCTGCAGGCTCTAGGGTGGCACAGAGACCACTAATATCAGGATGTTTGTGTTCCTCCTGTCCCCACAGACAGGATGATGATATGTTGCATCCAAGCCCTGCTGTTGTTGGGTGCTCAGCTGGCTCTTTCAATCCCCAACAACTTCTTCTACCATGACTTTCGCAAAGGAAATGGAAACACAGAAAGTATGCACACAATCAATTAATGATTTTTGTCAAAATTGTTTTTATATGTGTTCTTTCAGTCCATCCTTTAAACTCCATTCTTGTATGTAATGTCTATATTTCCTATAGTTCACTTCAGTGGTGTGAAGCTCCATGTGGACTCTGCTCAGCCTGCAGTGTTTGCAGCCACAGGGGATAATGTCACGCTGCCATGCAGGTTTTGGTATGAGCCCGAGTTGACCTCACCAAGGGAACCCCGGGTCAAGTGGTCCTGGCAGCCTGCAGCTGGGGGACATGAGACAGACATGCTGGTGGCTATCGGCTCTCGAAGTCGAAGTTTTGGGGAATTCAGGTTGATAAAAAAATGAATAGTGATTATATATTGTTCTCTTATTAGTTACTGTATGATCTTGTTTGTCTTTTAACTCACAGTATGTCTCTTGGTCAGGGGTCGTGTGCAGATCAGACAGGATTTCCCAGGAGACGCCGCACTTGTGATGACTAACCTAATGTTAAATGATACAGGCCGTTACCACTGTGAGGTCGTGGACGGACTGGAGGACAAGAGCACTTCAGTTTATTTGGAGTTACGGGGTATATGTACACTGATACACTGCTCTCCATTCTCAAGCGGCAATAAGAGTCCAACAATGCTCTTAATTCTATTCAGAAATCAATTTTTTAAAAGATAGGCAGATGTTTAGAAGAAGACAGGCTTGTTGTAATCTTTGCACTTGATTAATATATTCTATTCTTCTGTAAAAAGAGATTCGTTTCAATCTCTTTATTGTCCCTCCAGGCAAAATTAGGTTTACAGTGGGCAAAAACACAAACATAAAAGAGGACCTGGGCAATTAATGGTAACTGTTACAGCCGACAATGAAGTAAAACATATTATTTTTCCCGTAAAACTATCAAAATATTGTAATAGTAGCTATTCTGAAGTGATGCTGAAGATTTTTTGTGGAAGAATGTTGATGAATGTAAACGGTTTTTTCACAGCAGACCTTTTTTCATAGACAAACAGGTGTTATATTAACAATAACGAGGTAAAGTGTCCCAGTGAGTAACACTGAAGGCCTCTCATCATTTCCTCCACCCAGGTGTGGTGTTTCCCTACCAGCACCCTCGTGGTCACTACCACCTCAGCTTCCTGGCAGCCCAGGAGGCCTGTGAGCAGCAGGCCTCCACACTGGCCACCTTCTCCCAGCTCTTCCAGTCCTGGAAGGAGGGCCTGAACTGGTGCAATGCAGGCTGGCTGGCTGACGGGACCGTCCAGTACCCCATGACCCAGCCCAGAGTGCCCTGCGGAGGGGACGGCCTGGCCCCAGGTGTCCGGAGCTACGGCAGACGGCACCTGCAGCTTCATCGTTATGATGTCTTTTGCTTCTCCTCTACACTCCAAGGTGAGATGGTGTGAAATCTAACAATGTGATACGTTCAAAATATGGTTCGAGAGAAGCTCTTTTTCAGAATCTATAACAGAAAAAAATGATTAAAAATGATTACGAGTGTCATCCGAATATTATCTTTATGTGCAGGACAGTTTGAAGTAAATGAGCAGAATTACCTTTATTTTAAGTCAACAGTCTCACTCTTGGACGTCTGCTGTCTAATGTTGGAGGTCTGAAACACAAACACTTTGAACTATCATATCCAGTCTGCAGAGAGTTCTCTTAATAATAACAATACATATGTTTTCTTCAAAGGTAAAGTCTACTATCTGCAACCCTCTCACACGATGAACCTGACGGAGGCCCAGCAGGCGTGCCAGGAGGACGGAGCACAAGTCGCCAAAGTGGGACAGCTGTACGCCGCCTGGAAGCTCTCAGTGCTGGACCACTGCGACGCAGGCTGGCTGGCTGACGGAAGCGTTCGGTATCCCATCACCAGGCCCCGGAGAAACTGTGGCCCCTCAGAGCCGGGGGTGCGCAGTTTCGGCTTCCCTCCTCCACAGCATAAACACGGGGTCTACTGCTACAAGTCAGGGGATGAATTAATGTAGAGCCTTTCTCGAATTGGGGGTCAGAAATGCAAAGATGGCACCATTTTCTCGAAAACGTGTATCCTTATGAGCATTCTTGTCATTATAACTGTGTAAACTTTGGAAAACTAGGCCTAAGTGTGCAGTGAGGATTAACAGGAGGGAAATAGTAGAACTTCTTTTTTTTAGATTAAAGAAAGATATATAACATGCATTCACATGTTACTTCAGATTTATGTAACATACCTTTGAGTGCTAATGCCTTGTATTTGTTTGTAGATTATGTTTGTATGGTTTTGAATACGCTTTCAAAATGATTATGAAGAACAGACAACCCATTATTACCACCTTCTTGTCTTGCGTGTAATGCAGTAATTTCCTAGAATGCATGGTTTGAGCTATTTCCGAGTAATGTCTTCACTGTCCTTTGTAAATGCATGTGACAATAAAAACGTTAGTTAGAAGAGAGTCGAGTTTCTCCTATTACTGTACGTCATCCTCCTCTCCCTCACTTGTGCAATTGACAATGACAACAAAAGAAATAGAAGAAGCAGATGGGAATCAATCAACTATGATATTCACAGGAGAAACAGAACATAAACCAAAGGCAAATTAGAAATATCAAAAAAAGATCACTTGTTTTTTACAAGACAATGTACTGTTTTCCCTCTGTGGGAAACACTACTGTGTGTGTGTGTGTGTGTGTGTGTGTGTGTGTGTGTGTGTGTGTGTGTGTGTGTGTGTGTGTGTGTGTGTGTGTGTGTGTGTGTGTGTCTTTTGATCTAAAAAACACCTGAAAAAGAGAAGTAGCAACACTTGTCTAACTGAGGTTTAATCACAGCCAGCAGATGGCAGTCACATGTGTGTATGCTTTTGTGTGAACAATAAGAGCAGAACAAAATGTGAAGAAACTATTAAACAATATAAACTCTCTCAGTTACATCACAAATAAACAACATTTAATGAAATTGAAGGTTTACACCACCACATGCGTCATGATCCACCAACAGTATCACACGGCCAGATTGAATCAATGGATTTAAAAGATTGTCCTGAATGTACTGTGAACAAACTGCAGTCATGCAGAAAACGTCGCATTTATGGTAATACAATCATATTAAATGTGAAGAATGCAGGATGAAAGAAATGTGACTGCTGGAAATCAGAGGTGAAATGTGACGGCCGAAGAGGGAGGGGGAGGAGAGCGAAGGAGCATAGAGAACACAGTGTACACTCACAGAAGTGTGTTCACGTACTCCTCGGTCTCTCAGGTTTATGAGACATACTGTACGTATGGGGGACAGTGGGATATTTGCCATGTGGCTGGTTTTAGTGTCTCAGGCCTTCATGCCAGGAAACACAATGACAAATGATTTGGTTATAAAATCACTCACGGCTGAGGGTTAACTTAGTCTCATTGTGGATCTCAGTTCATGTTCTGTTCATTAAGCAATGAAAATGATCATACTTACTGCTTTAGCAACCAGAAAGTGCCAAGTTCAAGATTAATGCAATATTGAATTATTAGGAAATAATACTCTGGAATAGGACTGTATACTGCCACAACAACTGAAATATGTTCAAAGGAAGTGGATTCGTGCTCTGACCTCCACACCCATGACTGAAAGTGCGTGACACAATATTTGTGTGAGTGGAGACCGGTGGAAACACACTCATGTAGGCATTTATTCAAAGAAAAATAAGTTACTTGGGAAAATAAGAGCCAACTGAAAAATAAAAGAGTGCCAAATAAAAAAAGTATTGTTCAGTTTTAAATCACAAAGCACTTTTAGCTCCATCTTGCATGACAACATGTTGTTCTTTGTTTTATTTTTTACATAAAAAACAATACAATTGTATGGGTTTTTACATTGTTTAGTCAAATTATTATTTCTTGTCAGTCACTGAACCTTGTATTTCCATTTTAGACTACCTGCTTTCTTGTGTCTTGTTTACTAATACTTCTATACTACAGTAGATTTCTGTTGATGTACTTCATTCATCTGTCAGCTACAGTTACTCATTACTTTTCAGATTGACATTTTTCTTACAAATCACATTATGTTGTCCTTATTGTTGTTCTGTTGTTTTTATGTTACATGTGCAACCAATGTGCTGCAGGTCACCCTTGAAAAAGAGATATTTTGATCTCAAGGGGCTTTCACCTGGTTAAATAAAGGCTACAAACGAACAAACTGGGATATAAAAACGTGATAAAGAAAAAAAAACAGAAGTCTATAAAGTAATTATTATGAACTCAATATTTTCCGATTACAACAATGAAATACTGCTTCCCCTGTAATGCATCAGTAATAATACAACTACAACCACTAATAAAATTAACAATAATTATTACTATAATTATAATAATGTGAATAATAATAATAATAGTAGAATATCCAAAGTATAATAATGGATCATAACACTGACAGAAGCCATTCTACCTTATAATGAGTCCTTATACTTAATTACATTTTGATGATGACAACCATACATTTAAGTACATATACTAAAGTTGTCACATTTTTCTTGGTATTGCTTCAGCACATAACTAAAGGATCTGAGTCCCTCTTCCATCACTGGTTAGTGCATGTGATACATCAACACATATTGTCTATCTTTGTTGGTACAGGATTATCTCGCACCACTTACACAGCTGATCAATGACACAACCTTAAAACTTTCTTTTGATATTTATTCCTTCAGCTGTTGGTAGAATCAGACATGGTTAAGCTTCAAATGTGTTATCTGAAAGTGCTTTGTTCAAACTCAAAGGACACATCTAATGTGATGCATGCTGTAGGTAATACTGTTACTTGTAGGCATAAAGCAGACAATACAAAAATGAGGATTCCCAGAAAAGGCCTTCCTTACTGAAATGAGGCATGAAAAACATGATTATCCCTGGTGTCATTCCAATAATCTCCCAGTCACATTTAAAAAGTAAACGTGTTATCAATGAGGTAAAATGAGGATAATGAGTTATGTGCAAAATGCTCATTTGGCATATGGACCCCAGCTCAAGCTGTGTATATGTTTTAATAATGTATGTTTAGTTCAATTATCTCAGGTTGACCCCCACCACACATTACATCACTTTGAATTTTAGAGCTTTTGTTCTGTATATTGTTTTAAACCTGGAAAAATCTCCTAAAAAATCGCAGAATTAAGTCGCTTCAAACTATGAATAGAAAATCCTACAAAATGACATTGAATTCCACTTCACTTGGCGACTTACTCTTCATAGCTGAGGTTCTCGAGGGTGTAAACCCCGACATAAGTAATATTTTTGGTGCAACCTCAGGAAACTCTGTCATTGGTTGGGAAGTTTCTATACAAATCAGACAGAGGTCAGCTGCATGCTGGTGAAATAAACACCACAGCAATGTAAAGATGGGATCCTCCTGCTGGCAGCTTTATCTTGTAGCTATATTATGTGTGTATTATGTTTAAGGGTAGTAGCTGATAACACTGCTGAATGCACCTAGGGCTAACATGGAAAATAATAAGGGGGGAAACACTGACAGGTCATCGGCACCATGCCGACAATGCAAAGTTGCCCTATAATTAACATGGGTCTGTTATGTTCCCAGAGCCCCTGTCCTCGTGTGGATTACACAAGTTAAGAAGTGCCAACAATAAGGTGCAAATAACAATAAGGTTTTATTTTCTTTATTTTTTTAGCACAGTGTTTTTCCTCTCTGGTTTTTGTTTAATATAGGCAAACTATAGACAATATTTTATTTCTTGAGAGCATTGGTTCTTTGTTAGGCTTTTCAAATCCGGTCAATTCATTTTTCCAATATTCAGAGCCGGGTAAAGCCTAATTAAAAGTGGGCCCAACATCATTTAAAAGTACCAGGAATGTAATGTAGTTGGGTTCAGGTGGAGCTTTAGTCTAACTTGTGAATATATAGCATATGGGTTATCAAACTTTAAAATACATAATTTCTTATAATCTTATAAACGTAATGTATGTTATTGCATTCAAACTTGCAATGGGGTCATTTAGGAACCACATTTCCTTCTAATGTGCAGTGGAAACAAGATGAAAGGATTATATTAAATTGGATTAGTGGATTGTTTAAACAGAGGTATGAAAGCATTGGATATTGGATAGTTTAAACAGATATGCATCCTTTTTACTAATCATATGTTTTCCAAAGTAAACAACATATTAAGGCTGTTGACTATAAAGAACATCTGCCTTTAGAAACAGTGAATTGGAACCATAATATAGTTTCAAATAGAAATAATGAGTTTGACTCAGGTCACATGACAAAAACACAAACATACTCTCTCTCGTTGTGTCTCTTTTTCTTTTTACTTATTTTTTCTTTTCGTCTATTAAAAATTAAGTTGACATCATAGTAGAAGGTGTAGCACAAGTGGTGGGCGAATAGAGGAAGTGGGATGGAGCTGCGGTAAAACTCGCTCCTGATTGGCTGTTGCTGGTTTTCTGAGCGTTGTGGAGGTGTTTAAATAGCCAATCAGGTCGCCTATCCTCAGTATGTGTAGCAGCAGCATTGAACTGACGGCCCTCTCTCGGTGGAAGACCGCGTCCGAGTGACACTGCCTCGTCTCTGCTCTAACCCACTTAACTCAAGTGCCATGGAGGAATTAAGTAGTTGACGTTTCCTGTTGTAACCTTCTCTTTTTTAAGCTTTCTTCCCGTCCGATCCTGAACCGGTTTATTGACGTTTTTGAACCCTTCTGTCTACAAGCTTTAACCATCCGAAATCATGAAGTACATCATCGGCATCGGCGGGTGAGTTCCTACGGTTGTATGAACGGAGGCTATGCTAAGCTAGCTGGCTAAATGGAGCTGCTAGGCCCTACAAGGCACACGTGGAGGAAAGTGCGTTCATGACATCCGCTATAGTGTAGCTTCCTTTTTGTTGTACTGCTGTTCAAAAAACGTTATGTTAGTGATGATTTTTCCGTTTTGTATAAGGGTTTATCCTGGTGATTTAAGTAAATAAACAAAGCTAAAGCTAACGTTTACTAGCATGTAAAACAATAAGCAAACCCGCCATAATGCACAGGTGATCCACCCTTTTATGCCATGAGGCAGTCTTCAATGCCTAAAGTCATTCTTAAAATGTGTACATTTTGTGTACAATTTCTTTTTTTTGTACCACTCTTCATTCAAACATGCCTCCCGTTTTTCAAAGCAAACTACAACAATTACAGCAATACTATTGATTATTAATAAAAAATATGTTTTAACGTTTAAAACTGACAGCGGCTATGTAAGGTTGAACTGTTTTGTTTTGTTGAGGAAATAAGTGAAAATCTATGTTAATGAGTAATTACATAATGTTTAACATACCCTTACAATGACATTGATGTGTTATAATGGTCAAAAACGAAATGGTTGTTTACAGTACAAAACGATTTTTCGACCTTGAACAATGTTTTAGTGAGAATCATAATAAGCAGCATAATATTAAGAAAGAGAATTGT